GACAAAGGAATAAAGGGTAAAGGGCATAATAAGCTTAAGCTTCAGCCTGCACCTTTTCGGTCTGTATATGTTAAATATGACTGTTTATGAATTAATGTCAAAATATACCTGTGACCGAAATAAATAAACTGAGTCTTCCTGTCCCGGGCTGAGCAGTGGCCACATCTGTCTAATTGTGTCTATGGGTTTTTTGCTGAATCGTGCTAAAATTTAATAAATAGTTAAAGGCGCATTCTGTAACTTTTCTGGTGGAGAGTCTGTCATTTGCTTGTTTCCATGAATACGTCATTCCTCTGCCCAGATTATTCCACAGTATGACATTAAACAGCTCTGCATTTATTAGATCAGAGGTGGTTTTATCGCTCAAAAACAGACATTCTCTTCACAGATCTGACTTGTAACTTGGTCTGGTTTGGTCTCTATGAAGATTAAGACATTTAAAACCGTTCCAGACGATGTAATAACATAAGGTGACCAGATTTTCAAAATAAAAAACTGAGACATCCTCGGTTTGTGGTGGTTGGAAATAATAAAATTGTAAAACGAGCGCGTAATTAACGAGAATTTTTCTGCACTCAGCACTAACGCGAGTCAGTACAGTCACATTTTCTTTGTGTTTTGGTCGTTTTTAAGCAGCTTTTCTGTATTTCACGTAAACAAATGACAATATACGCCTTTTTTTACTGTTGGCAGTGATAAAATTGGGCAAAAATTGGGCGTTTCTTGTATGAAACTGGGACAAATCAGTGGTTTTGGATAAATCTGCTGGGACAGGGGACACAGGGCTCAAAACTGGGACTGTCCCGGGTAAATGGGGACGTCTGGTCGCTCTACAATAACATGTTCATGGAGAAAAGCATTTGACGGAAAAGTTACACAGTGCACCTTTAAAGATAAGTCCAAATCCAAACAGAACCCACAGTGGAGAGTTTTAAGTCTCGTCTTAAAACCCACTTTTACCGCGTGAGTTGTGTGGTCCTTTGTGTCTTTTATTTATTTTATTTTATTTGAGTTTTATTGTTTTAGGACAAATTTTGGCAGTTTATCTTTTTGTTGTCTTCATTTTACGATCTCTGTGCGGCACTTTAGAAGCTGCTTTGTTTGTAGTGTTATAAAACTAACCGATTACTGTAATGTGTGGCTTTTTGGGGAATAAATGTGATGTTTTACTCGGTACAAATGTCAGTCACAAAGCTTTTTTAACCTGGATTGAAGTGGTGGGTTTTTCTTCGTACAAATTCGCTAAAATCACAGCGACACCAGCAGCGGCGAAACGCCAGATACACGCTCCGAGATTCCAAGTTCCAGTCCAAGATTAGTCCTGGTTTGGTCCTAATTTAGGTCTGGTTTAAACCTGGTTTAGTCCTTGTTTAGACCTGGTTCAGGTCCTGGTTCAGTTTTGGTTTAGTCCTTGGTTCAGTCCTGGTTTAGACCTGGTTTAGTCCTGGTTTAGACCTGGTTCAGTTTAGTCTGGTTTAGACCTGGTTTAGTCCTGGTTTAGTTTAGACCTGGTTTCATTAGTCTGGTTTAGACCTGGTTTAGTCCTGGTTTAGTCCTGGTTCAGTCCTGGTTTCAGCTCTGGTTTAGACCTGGTTTTAGTCCTGGTTTAGTTCAGTCCTGGTTTAGTTAGACCTGGTTCAGTTACTGGTTTAGACCTGGTTTAGTCCTAGTTTAGTCCTGGATTAGACCTAGTTTAGTTCTGGTTTAGTCCTGGTTTAGTCCTGGTTCAGTCCTGGTTTAGACCTTGTTCATTACTGGTTTAGACCTGGTTTAGTCCTAGTTTAGTCCTGGATTAGACCTAGTTTAGTCTGGTTCAGTCCTGGTTTAGTTCCTGGTTTAGTTCCTGGTTTAGTCCTGGTTTAGTCCTGGTTTAGTTTCTGGTTTAGTCCTGGTTCAGTCCTGGTTCAGTCCTGGTTCAGCTCTGTTTAGACCTGTTTAGTTCTGGTTTAGACCTGGTTTAGTCCTGGTTTAGTCCTGGTTTTAGTCCTGGTTCAGTCTGGTTCAGCTTTGGTTCAGTTTTGGTTCAGTTCTGGTTCAGTTCGGGTTGAGCTCTGGTTTAGACCTGGTTTAGTCCATGGTTCAGTCCTGGTTTAGTCCTCAGTTCAGTCCTGGTTTAGACCTAGTTTAGTCCTGGTTTAGTCCTAGTTTAGTCCTGGTTCAGTCTGGGTTCAGCTTTGGTTCAGTTTTGGTTCAGTCCTGGTTCGGTCCTGGTTCAGCTCTGGTTTAGTCCTGATTTAGTCCTGGTTTAGACCTAGTTTAGACCTAGTTTAGTCTTAGTTTAGTCTTAGTTTAGTCCTCGGTTCAGTCCTGGTTCAGCTTTGGTTTAGTTCTGGTTTAAACCTGGTTCAGTTCTGGTTTAGTCCTGTTTCAGTCCTGTTTCAGTCCTGTTTAGTCCTGGTTTAGTCCAGTGTTTGTTTATAAAATGTGCTATAGAAATAAAGTGGATTTGGATTTAGATGATACTGACAACATGTTAAAAAGTAAAAAAAAACTTCAACAAAAAGTCCACAAAAACAATTCATACTTGAGTAGAGACACTTTAGTCCTTAGAAAGACAAATTTTGTGATTTTGAGGCATAAAAAAATATTAAAACAAGCCACAAACTGAAGCCATCTACATAAAAAAATAAGCGTGTGGTCTTTAGTCTAATTATAGGTTTGTTTATAGGTTGTTTGTTTTTTTTTTTAGTGGCTTTTTTTGAGGTAGGCAGAGCGCAGAACCGGTTTAAATTTTACAATCATCCCTAAAACTAATCCCGTGCAAAAGGGCAGTAAAAAAATCCCGCAGCCTTTAAACAGACTGCAGACGCTCAGATGCACAAGTCAGTCATTCTGGTTTATTCTGAGTCAAAACTATGCAGAGCGTGTTTGAAGTGAAAGTCGACTCCTAAAAGCCAAATCCTTTTGTCTTCCGCTGAAATGTCCCAGACGTTTTAAAACTTCTGAATGTTAAAAGTACGTGGAAGTCTTGTACAATTATCCCCGGACAATTGTTATTCTAAACCGGAGTTAAATTAGATCCCGACACTGTGTTTCTCTCGTAGGAACAGAACTTGCGGGTTTCTTACGCAACGATTTGGTTTTTAATAAAATAGAGCAGAAAATTTGAAATGTGGGTCCAGGTTTTAACGTTAAAATAAATCAGAATAATGAATGAAATATTATTAATACAATGTTTTTTGGATATTGAAAATGTTATTGAAAAGTGAAATCTGTATAGCATTTGTTTTTCAATGTAAAACCAAAAATAAGAAAACGAAAAAAACAACAATTTTCTTCATTATTTGTCTCCAAAACCAAAATGAAAAAATGGAAAACAATTCTTTTTTTTTTTTTTTTTCAGTTTTTGATTTTTTGTTTAAATAAATTATGGAAAAATAATGGTTTCTCGACGTAAACTGAGATGCCGGACTGAACCAGAACCAGACCGGGATTGAGACCCGGACTTAGACCGGGACCGGACCAGGACTGAGTCCAGGACCAGACCGGGACCAGGACTGGACCGGGACCAGACCAGAACTGAAACCAGGACTGAGACCGGGACTGAGACCAGGATTGAAGTTGGGATCAAACCAGAACCAGACCGTGATTGAGACTGGGACCAGACCAGGACTGAGACCAGGACTGAGACTGGAAACAGGACCAGGACTGACACCAGGACCAGACCAGGACTGAGGCCAGGACCAGACCAGAACTGAAACCAGGACTGAGACAGGGACCAGACCGGGACCAGACTGGGACTGAGACCGGGACTGAGACCGGGACTGAGACCGGAATTGAGGCCGGGATCAAACCAGGACCAGACCGTGACTGAGACCGGGACCAGACCGGGACTGAGACCAGGACCCGATCGGGATCTGAGACCGGGACTGAGACCAGGATTGAGGTTTTGATCAAACCAGAACCAGACCGTGATTGAGACTGGGACCAGACCAGGACTGAGACCAGGACTGAGACTGGAAACAGGACCAGGACTGAGGCCAGGACCAGACCAGAACCAGACCGCGATTGAGACCTGGACCAGACCAGAACTGAAACCAGGACTGAGACCGGGACCAGACCGGGACTGAGACGGGGACTGAGACCGGGATTGAGGCCGGGATCAAACCAGGACCAGACCCTGACTGAGACCGGGACCAGACCGGGACTGAGACCAGGACCCGATCGGGATCTGAGACCGGGACTGAGACCGGGACTGAGACCGGGACCAGACCAGAACTGAGACCAGGACTGAGATCGGGAACAGGACCGGGACTGAGGCCGGGCCTAGACTGGGACTATGACCAGGATTGAGTCTGGGACCTGAAAAGGACTGAAAAGAGTTTAGTCCTGGTTCAGTCCTGGTTTAGTCCTGGTTTAGTCCTGATTCAGTCCTGGTTCAGTCCGACATCGCAGTTTAAGTCACGTAAACAGGAAATGGCCTTTATCCATTTTTTTCCATTCTTCATTTAAACACAAAATCGAAAACTGAAAAAACAAATCGTTATCTGTTTTTTTTCATTTGGTTTTGGAGACAAATAATGAAGAAAACAGTTGTTTTTTCATTTTCTTATTTTTGATTTTATATTGAAAAACAAACGAACAAATGATACACAGATTCAGTCATTGTTTGCCTCTTATATCATATTTCAGCGTCAATTCGTTATTTAAAGAAAGTGAGTATGACAAATTTTAAACATGTTTCAACAAAATAAAGGTGTTTTCTTAAATTTTATTCGTCAAATAATAATTTCTTTGTACAGTTGATAATAGATATAATTCCATAGCTTGATGTCATGATTTCCAGACAGGACTTAAAAAAAATGTCCAAATTGTGAAATTTTTAAAAATATTTTTAGTAAAATCTTGTGTGTTTTTGTGAAATTAATAGTCTGATTTATCAAAGGCACTTCAACTATTTAGTTTTATGTAACGTTCACATGTTTTCAAAATTGTTCATTCATATTTCGAGTTGCTTCTTCTAACGTAAATAATTTATGTTTTGTGTTTTTCTCTTGCAGAGGAATCTTCAGGGATGGAAGACTTCGAGAAAGGTATTTATCAAGATTATTATTATTATTTTTCATGTAGTGGTCATTTTCACTTATCTTTTACCTTTTGTTGAGTCGAGATTAGCATTTCCAGGGCATAAATGATCCAAATGATTGTAGTGAAAGTGTATGGAGTTTAAAAACACAGTGGAGCACCTTTATTTGTTTTCTGTTCAAGAGAAGAACTCAGTCTAAATATGCAGGATTTGTACGTTAAATATGTGTGAATGAAACAAAATAAAAGTGAAAAAATGGCCGATTATGAAGTATGAAAGCTTTCGGAAATATTTTTGTGCATGTTTGTCTGTAGTTGAGAATAAAATAAATATTCGTAAACTCTCGATTGAATCCAGTCGTACGTAAAATGTGTTGTGTGTGTTTTATCCGTCAGAATATGAATTGAAAAGATACGACGTCAAGAATTACAAATCACCAAATGAAAATTTACGATTATGATTCACAGACGCGACTCGAATGTCAAAAGTACGTGATCGCATACAGACTGAGCCAGGACTGAACCAGGACTGAACCAGGACTAAACCAGGACTGAACCAGGACTGAACCAGGACTGAACCAGGACTGAACCAGGACTGAACCAGGACTAAACCAGGACTGAACCAGGACTGAACCACTGAACAGGACTAAACCAGGACTGAAACCAGGACTGAACCAGGACTGAACCAGGACTGAACCAGGACTGAACCAGGACTAAACCAGGACTGACAGGACTGAACCAGGACTGAACCAGGACTGAACCAGGACTAAACCAGGACTGAACCAGGACTGAACCAGGACTGAACCAGGACTGAACCAGGACTAACCAGGACTTGAACCAGGACTGAACCAGGACTAAACCAGGACTGAACCAGGACTGAAACCAGGACTGAACCAGGACTGAAACAAGGACTGAACCAGGACTGAAACCAGGACTGAACCAGGACTGAACCAAGACTGAAAGAAGACTAAACCAGACTGAAACCAGGACTGAACCTGGACTGAACCAGGACTGAACCAGGACTGAACAGACTGAAACCAGAACTGAACCAGGACTGAACCAGGACTGAACCAGGACTGAAACAAGACTAAACCAGGACTGAACCAGGACTGAACCAGGACTAAACCAGGACTGAACCAGGACTAAACCAGGACTGAACCAGGACTGAACCTGGACTGAACCAGGACTAAACCAGGACTGAACCAGGACTGAACCAGGACTGAACCAGACTGAACCAGGACTAAACCAGGACTGAACCAGGACTGAACCAGGACTGAACCAGGACTGAAACAAGACTGAACCAGGACTAAACCAGGACTGAACCAGGACTGAACCAGGACTGAACAAGACTAAACCAGGACTGAACCAGGACTGAACCAGGACTAAACCAGGACTAAACCAGGACTGAACCAGGACTGAAACAAGACTAAACCAGGACTGAACCTGGACTGAACCAGGACTAAACCAGGACTGAACCTGGACTGAACCAGGACTGAACCAGACTGAACCAGGACTAAACCAGGACTGAACCAGGACTGAACCAGGACTGAACCAGGACTGAAACAAGACTGAACCAGGACTAAACCAGGACTAAACCAGGACTGAACCAGGACTGAAACAAGACTAAACCAGGACTGAACCAGGACTGAACCAGGACTAAACCAGGACTGAACCAGGACTGAACTACAACTATTTGTACTGACTAAAGCATAATCGTAAATTTTAATTTTCAAATACACAAGCCAAGTCTTACTCCACAGAAGATGATGTCCCAAAGCTTTTTTAAAAATGTATTTTTAAATAACATTTCGTCAAAAAAGCCTTCGTCAGATCATTTTTTCTTGCTTTTGGACCACAGTACAAAAATGAAACAAAACAAAACGCAGAAGATAATATAATATTGACGGTTTGAGTTTAAATCTGGACTGAATTAGAAATGAAACAAGGTGTAAAAAAATAAGAAAAAATATAAATATAAATCAAATATTTCAAGTGTTAAAGCGGGAATAATGTACAAAATCGACTTTCTGGAGCTGGTCCTTCATCAAAAAATACGCTTGAAGATGTTTGACACGACATCCATGCATGTTTGAGTGTTTTTGTGGTCTTTTCCGGGTCTATTTGAACCCTGCTTACATGAATCTCTCTAAATATAACTTTGACTGGACACATGAGAAAGGAAACAATAACAACATGGTTTAAAGTTCTGGAAAGTTGATTTTACAGGATCACAAGTCAGATTACATGTACCGGAGTTATGTAATCAGAGTACAAATTATGAGTAACTGTATTCAGTTACAGTTACTGTTTCAGTGAGTGGTAATTGGATTACAGTTACTTTGTTGAAATAAATGGATTACACAGAGGGATTTTACTGTTTTTACATTTGGGGCTAAATGCTTTTTTTTTTTTCTTGGTAATTCCACTTATTGCCGGACACTGAACCAGGTGTAAACTAGATCTTAACCAGGACTAAACCAGGACTAAACAGGACTAGACAAGGACTAAAACCAGGACTAAACAGGCCTAAACCGGACTAAACCAGGACTAAACCAGGACTAAACCAGGACTAAACCAGGACTAAACCAGGACTAAAGGACTAAAAGGACTAAAACCAGGACTAAACCAGGACTAAAACCAGGACTAAACCAGGATTAAACCAGGACTAAAACAGGACTAAACCAGGACTAAAACAGGACTAAACCAGGAATAAACCAGGACTAGACAAGGACTAAAACCAGGATTAAACCAGGACTAACAGGACTAAACCAGGACTAAAGGACTAACAGGACTAAAACCAGGACTAAACCAGGACTAAACCAGGACTAAACCAGGACTAAGGATAAACTAAAACCAGGACTAACAAGGACTAAAACCAGGACTAAACAAGGACTAAAACCAGACTAAACCAGGACTAAACCAGGATTAAACCAGGACTAAAACCAGGACTAAACCAGGACTAAACTAAAACAGGACTAAAAGGACTAAAACCAGGACTAAAAACCAGGACTAAACCAGGACTAAAAAACCAGGACTAAACCAGGACTAAACCAGGACTAAACCAGTTAAACCAGGACTAGACAAGGACTAAACAGGACTAACCAGACTAAAAGGACTAAACCAGGACAAACCAGGATAAACAGGACAGGACTAAACAAGGACTAAACCAGGACTAAAACCAGGACTAAAACCAGACAAACCAGTGGGACTAACCAAGACTAAACAATAAAACCAGAACTAAACCAGGACACCGTGGCAGCACGGTGGCTGAGTGGCTAGCACTCAGGCCTCACAGCAAGAAGGTTCTGGGTTTGATCCCCGGGCCTTTCTGTGTGGAGTTCTGTGTCTGGATGCGTTTCCTCCGGATGCTCCAGTTTCCCCCATCAACCCAAAACATGCTCCAGGTCTCCAAGAACAGTTGATAGTCAAGGTCAATTAAATACAATCAATCAATGAACCTGTCCAGGCACTGGTGCTAGTGGTTACACACTTCACCCTCATTGCCTAGTATGAAAGTGGTGTGTGTGTGTGTGTGTGTGTGTGTGAGTGTTGGTGATGGTCAGAGGGATCGTTAGCGTCGATTGGCATGGCAGCCGCGCCTCTGTCAGTCTGCCCCAGGGCAGCTGTGGCTACAACAGTATCTTACCATCACCAGGTATAGAGTGAATGAATAATATCTGCTGAATGTAATGATCTGTAAAGTGTTTGTGACAAAAATGTCTGTGAAAAGCGCTATAGAAATGGGGACTTACTTACTTACTAAACCAGGACTAAACCAGGACTAAACCAGGACTAGACCAGGTCTAAAGCAGGACTAAATTAGGACTAAAGCAGGTCTAAACCAGGATTTATCAGGACTGAACTAGGTCTAAACCAAGTCTAAAACAGGATTTAACAGGACTAAACCATGACCGTGTCTCCTCCTCCTATATGTTTAAATACTAATATGTTTAAAGACTCGGCCTTTTCATTTTCTTTTAGCAAACAATGTGAAGATTTCCTCGTCTTTTCTTCTCTACAACAAATCAAGTAATCCAAAGTATTCAGATTACGTTACTCACTTTAAGTAATTTAATGGATTACGTTACAAACTACATTTTGGGGTATGTAATCTGTAATCTGTAGGGGATTACATTTTAAAAGTCACCTTCCCAACACTTCCCTCTCCTCTACGCTCTTTGTTTACAGGGTCTCGATTCTACATGTGTTTACTGTCTGTCCACGTTGTTCTTCTTCTTCTCTCTTTCCCCCTCTTTTTCCTTCCCTCCTTTAGCCCCCGTTCATCCCAATCTCCGTACATCTCCCCGTTGTTTGATTTGGTGCTGGTTCATAGCTGGAGCTTTGGAGAGATTTCAGGACAGGCTGGTTTTGATCGCGTTTTATACCAAAGTCTTGGACGTCCTCGTGCATGCGGACAACATTACTAACCCGAAGAGAATGCTGCTGGCTCGTTATTTTTATTTTACACTTGTTTTTTGCCCCTTTTTAACTGTGTTTTTGTCTTTGAAGACATAAATGAATAAAAGGTATTCCGGCTGAGTCAGTGTGTAGTCCTCCAAATGTTACGAATTAGAAAAGATGTTAAAAGATGCGATGTGTGTTTGAGTTTAAATGGTCCTATATTAAAAAATCGATTCTTATGAATTTAAGTCGTGTTATAATCCTGTTATCTCGTCAAAAACAGACCTGGAGTTGTGTTTTGTTTCATTCACACATGTTTAGTATCCAGTGTTGGGGAGTAACAGATTACATGTACCGGAGTTACGTAATCAGAGTACAAATTATGAGTAACTGTATTTGATTACAGTTACTTTGTTGAAATAAATGGATTACACGGCGGTATTTTCCTGTTTTCACATTTGGGGCTATATCCCTTTTTTTTCTTGGTAATTCCACTCACTACCGGACACTAAACCAGGTCTAAAACCAGGTCAAAACCAGGTCTAAAACCAGGTCTATACCAGGACTAAACCAGGACTAAACTAGGTCTAAAACCAGGTCTAAAACC